AGCAGCCACAGCTCCTCCCAGGCAGAGGGAGGCAGAGTGGGTGAGCCGGGCCTGCGGGGCAGCTGCTCTCTGCCAGCTGCTTTACCCTGCTGAAGCCAGACGGTGTTAGTGACCCCTAACCCTGGGTCTCTAGAACAGGCCCAGGGAGAGAAACGTGGGACCAGGGCCCCAGCTGGTGAGCAGCAGAGAGAGGCTCTGAGCCCAGACGGGCCCATCTATCTGGCATGGTTCTGCCTGGCGGGTGCCGCAGCTTATCAGGGCTGATGGAGACTTGAATTCCCAGGCCAGTCCCTGGAGAGCTTTCAGGCCCCACTCTCTCACCAGGTTGGCCCAGGATGGTCCCTCCTGCTCTGGAGTCCCTAAGCTGACCTGCCTGTAGGTGGCCAGAGCGCAGGTCTTCCAGGGAGCATGGGGAGGGAGTGCCGCCTTCCCCAGCTGGACTCACCAATGGTGTCCTGCACGAAGTCCACACTCATGTTGTGGGTGAGGAAGCTCAACAATGGGCACACCTGAGGGGAACAGAAAGCGGGGACAGACGAAAGGGTGAGTGGGGTATAGGGAGAGGAAGGAATGCCCGAGGAGGAAAAGTCAGATCATTTTCAGCTAGAGACAGAGGCTGGCTGAATCAGAGATGCTCCTTGTGTGGGGCTTCGAACACCTGACCCTGGGCCTCTACAACAATGCAAACCCAGAGTAGCAACTCTGAGAACCACATCTAACTCCTCAGCACAGAAGAATCCAGACGGCAGAATCCAGAGCGCTGATGCTCCAGATCCCTGATGCAGACGTCGGGAAATGGAACCTGGAGTTTTGAGATGTCGGCAGGTCCTGGCCCAAGCAGTGTGTCCCATGAAGAGGGTGCATTCCTGGGCCTCCTTACAATGCCCCTGTGATGAGCAGGCCGGGCCAGGGGTGTGGGGGGCGGCCGGCAGGCTGCATCTCCACAAGCTCCAGTGAGCCCAGGGCTGTGCAGAACCAACCCGGGAGCCAAGGCCCATCAGGGAGCAACAGCCCCTGGAAGGCCTCACTGTCACACATCCGGTTTCCATCCCCTTCCAGAATGACTAATTATGAAACTGGGACTTCTGTTTTGGGAGATTTTTAGATGAAAAACCTACTCTTCTGATAGGTGTTTCTTTCACAACTAATTGTACGTTAAGTGGTATTACCCTCTGTTTATTGAAGGGTTAAAATATTTCCTTTACAAAATAAATATATTTCTAAGGACTTCGGTAATAAGTGTGTTGATGTCAGAGCCAAGAGCAAACCAGGTCCTGCTACTACAGGATTTGCCAGAGCTCCGCTGGAGTCGCGAGGTGTCAGCCCAAGTCAGGCCCCTGCGCCTCCACTCCTCTCCCCTCTACACAAACAGAACTGAGTAAACAGGGGGCAGGTTGATAGTCCCATGGGGAGTTCAAGCCTCAGGGAAAGGTGCCCAGACGGTACAGGGTGCCTGTGCCGCTCCGGGTGTGACCAAGGGCACAGGGATGTTGGACTCACCAGCTTCTCTACCAGGCCTGCCAGAGTTTTTCCCACCAATCCAGTTACACCGTCCAAAAGTGTGTTGACCAAACGGCTTTTCCTGGAATAGAGAGAAGGCACTGCTGAGGGCTGGTCACCTGGGACCCATTCCTGATTCTGGGCAACAAGGTGGGTGCTCCGGGCCCAGACACGAGGGAGCATTGGCAGGACCCTGCTCTGTGCTGGGCACCTGGGTTTTCTCTGGCGTCCCCAGCAGTAGGTGTTTTCAATCTCAGCTCATGAACTAAAAGCTGAGGCTGGAGAGGTTCAGAGGTTCCAGCTGAGAGGCAGCGCAGGCACTGAGCCCAGCCTGCGGCTGCGAGGCAGACCTCCTCCTCAGCACCTCGTGTCGCCTCCCAGTGTGCTTAGGGCTGCCATGAAGGTGCATGGGCCTTACCTGCCCAGCAGGTGCAGCTGGATGCTGACTGGGTCGACGGCACATTTTCCTGGAACCACTTTGGACAGGCCAGTCTCGGCATCCTTTTCAATTTTGACACCTTTCAGGACGTCCAACGAAAACTTCAGGTTGACCAGCTCGTCACTGTCAGGCCTGTAGGGGATCACGGTCAGAGTGAGCCCAGTTCTAGAAACACCTGCTGTGCCCACTCAACCCTCTCCTGTGGAGCCTCATCCATCATTGGATGTGCCCACATGTCCACCTCAAAGTGGACCTCACATCTAACATGAGGGGCTCCTCTCTGGCCTCTTGGGTTTAGTTCACTTGAATTTTATGTAATATTACATTAAAAGTTAAAATAATAGTATTTATTGAGGGTCAATAACACTGCACTGCCTCTCCCCAGGTCCCAGATTATAACCTTACTCACAGTTTCAGGTTGACATTGGCTGTGATAGGTACCCTCAGGTTAAGGCCATCACCCTCGGGAGTCAGTTCAAGTTTAATATCGAGGATATCAGCATTTTTGAGTTTCAATCTGGACATAAAAAATACAATTTACACTTGTCTCTGCTCATTAGGTCAGGGCTTCTCCATGTCAGCATCACGTCGAGCATCCTGGCCTCACAAACTGTGCCATCTTTGCTCTTCATCATCGCCTTGACACCTCCATGGTATAGCAGGGC